GACGTCAAACTCCCTCTCTGGGACCCCCCCTGGGGTTATTAGAGGTCAACCAATTAGCCCCCCGGGTTACTTGAGGTCAAACTCTCTCTCTGGGGACCCCATCGGGGTTATTAGAGGTCAACCAATTAGACCCGGGGTTACTTGAGGTCAACTCCATCTCTGGCAAATGCCCTGGGTTCACCTCAATTTAACCAATTAGCCTGTGTTGTACTTGTTGTCAAACTCTGATGTGATGCTACCTCAGAGTGATCCCCAGACTGTGTGTTTGGCATCATTTAACGCTGGGGATTAATTTCTTTACCTGAGATGACCCCATCATTGTCCCCATAGGGTGAGTTTGCCCTCCAGTAACCCTGTATGCTGATTGGTGTACCCCAGTGTATTTCCCAAAGCTTCATGTTATTGTGGTTTTTTGTGTAACGGCTTAGTTTCTTCTTTTGGGTTTTCTTGAGGAATCCATTTCTGAATTCGGTCTTTTCACCGTGTCTCCACAGTGCCCGTACTTTACCTCCCGCCCTTACCCTCGGCTGCCCGGTGGGTTTGCTTTCCTATCTCCACCGTCACATGTTCGAGAAAAGTTCCCTGAGCCCACCCGTCCCTGTGGCCATCCCCACGCCCCCCACCAGACTCAGTTATGCCATTGTCCCACTTGTACCAGTGCCTCTCCACTTGCCTACACAGGATCTCTGTTCCGCTGCCCATCCTGTAGTATCATCTAACGCATTCCAGTTTAATTGGGAAATGTGAGCTACTGCTGCCTTTAGAGCAGAAGGTTAAAAGATGTCAAGCTCTGACTGGTACAACTGAATCTCTGCCTATGTCTCTCCATACATACCTTTATTTTTACATAGTGCAGATACAGATTTGGTGATTCGTTTAAAAGACATAAGCACAGTTTGAAACTTCAAAACCACTATCTACTGGCTTGACACTCATTAACAGCGCACATCGCCGCACATCATTAGTCTTTAATCACCATCAACACGCAGGTAAACAATCAGTCCTTAACAAGCTTGTCCTAAATTAACCAGGAGTATAAACCCACAGAGCGCTGGTACGCTGGGCTGAGCAGTTGCGCCGTGGCGTTGGTGCTGTGGTTTGTGCAGCTTTCGAGGTGAGGGGGGAGAGTACTTTTTTTGGTGAAGGAAACCAGACCTCAGTAGAATACTTTCTCTTTTTTTTCCATGTTGGTTTTTTTTTTCCTCATTGCTTGTTGGTGTTTTCTTCTTCTTTTTCTTCTTCCTTTGGAATGGAGGGGGCCAGCCCACCTCCTCTTGACTGAATTGTTTCATTTTTTTCAACCAGGACTTGCTTTGTGGTGGTGTTTATTTTCCCAGCATGTTCCCATTGTCTTGTGGGATTACTTTAGTTTCACCAATCATCTTCTCTACCTATGGTGCATGTGGGTTTTTTTTTCTCTCCTTCACACTTTACTTCTACTTGTTTCCTGTATTTCACGTGTGCAGTTGTCTTCCTCATTGTACTTACTAATTCTGTGTACGTTTTTTCTTAGCTATTTCGGAAAATGCCAATTGCTGATTTTGCTATTCGAATTTATACCGTGCTGTAAAATGCTCCCATACAGTTACTGGTTCCATTAGCTCGCTGTGTGTATGTCTGTATTTAAGGCATCTATCTTGCTTCTACTTCTTCTGTGCACCAGGCCGCACCACTTTGGCTACCTTGCTCTGTGGTGGGTGGCTGTCTAATCACAGCGGTGAACGTCCCTGTTGGACGTCCCCTCTTGAAAGACTATGTGTTTACTCAAGGTGGGGAAAAAAATCAAGAACAAAACATCTTGGGGAGGTTCCCAAGACTTTAGATATGCGTGTCCTCGGACGTGAGTAACTGGAGAGGCTTTCCATCAGCAGGCTCCCAAGACTTCGTTTATGTATGTCCTCAGACATGAATAATTGGGCAGGCCTTCCCCCATTAGCTGCCATCTGCTGTTGTGGACCACAAAAAGTGGAGAAGCAGCTGTTGTCTTTTCCTGACCCCTCTCTGAAAGGAGGGCTCCAGCAGCACCGTGGGCCTGAAGGGCTGCTCTCCCATGCGATGCTTTTCTCTGGGCCAGCGCCCGAACGCCTGTGCGAGTGTTGCAGGAGCTGGTGAGGCCTGGGCTGGGAGAAGTTGCCCCCTCTTCTCTCCTGGCTGTACTTCTGAACTCCTAAGGGAAGTCTTGAGACTTGGCTTACTCTTCGGTGAGCGTGGGCATGTTCCCTCACCGTTTGCCATGAACCATCCAATGTCCTGCAAATGAAGAGTGGTGAGAGACAAGGATTAAATTCCTCGTCATCACATCTCTGCATCTCACCTGGGCAAAGCTGAAGGTTGCCTGAAATGGGGAGGAATGAAGTGGAAGGCATGGGACTTCTGTCCTGGGACAGAAAGAGAGCAGGAAAAGAAGTTATTTTTAGGTGCATTGAAGGGACTCGTTAGCTCTGTAAACATTTGGGTCGTTCCTATGGCTCGTGCTGGAATGGAGTGCCTCCAACAGAGGCTAAGATTACCTGCTCCATGCAAGATTCTTCCTTAGACCCACTGATAAGAATTCCTGCTTACCTTTGTATTCAAGATCTTATGAGAGAGGGAAAATCCCAGTCTTGACATCTCAACTCAAGTCAAGGTCTCAAAATCCAAGTTTGCCTCATGAAGGAGGAAGGAAATGAACAGGAAAGAGGACCCAAAATAAACCACGAAGAAAAAGAAAAGCAAGAAATAATAAATAACTGCACAGCCTAGAATCTGAGTAAAGTCAGGCAGAATCCAGGTGCACTCATGCTTTAATGCCCAGACACAGGGGTTTTAGCAAAGCAGAGCAAAAAATACCTGCTGGGAAGATGGGGCTAGCTAGCCTCAGCTCAGTCCTGGAAGTCTCCCTCTGCCTGGTGGGAGCTGCCCTCTTCCCATCTAGTGCAGCAGTTCAGAGGATGCTGGTTTTGGTGGCCAGCGCACGCTCGAGTGATCTGCAGTGACACACCAGGAGTTGCAGGCAGCACGCGCTCCTGGAGATCAAGGGACAACCAAAGGCTTTGCCCTAAGACCTTGGCTACAGTAGCTGAAGTTAGGGCTAAAGCTTCACCGTGCCTTCGATGGCGACCAGGTGCCAAGGTCAATGCCGGAGGAGTTGTGTATTTTTCCCCTGGGGAAGCCTAATCAGGGGCTAATCCTGGGGCTCAAAGTTGGCAGATTGGGACTTACGCTGCAGGCAGTCACTGTGCCGTCCCACGGCGTGCCCGGGGGCTTCATGTCCACCCACCTGGCGACACGTAACAAGCCTTTGCCTTTGCCAGGTGCAGCCTCCAGCACTGCAATCCAGATTGCAAATTTAAGCGCGTACAGTTTTGTTGAAAGCAGAATACTGTAGGTGTAATTTTTAGAATTTACTTATGTTGGAAGATGAGATTTGGATTGTGCAGCTCTTCATAAACTGAGAAATCTGCCTAGATTTCATGATGATATGTAATTACTACCTTATTTTGTCACTGTATGCTTATGTTTGTCCCTTCTGCAGGCTGTCAAATAAGTACAAATGGATATAAGGCCATGTTGTCTGACACCAGAGTACATTCTATCTCTGAAAATAATACAGTTAAGAGAAGATAATTGATTTTCTTTCTCGTCATGACCCAGTATTTTAGGGTTTTTTCCTCTTTCTGTATTAGGTGACTTACCTATTTGAGAACTCTCCAACTCAACCAGAATGTGATTGCTTTAGGATAGGTTATAAGATTTTTAAAAAGCATTATTCAATCAAAGCCAATAACCATTATAGAACTGCGATACTAGAAAATAGTAATAAGAATTGGGCACGCATTAAAAATCCTCTTCTCTAGATAAAGGTAGAGACACACTGTTAGTGAAAGGAACAGAATTAGCAGTATTTGGGCAGCTGTAAATGCATAAAAGGATGAGGCTAAGCAGCATTTAATTTTAAAGCCGCACAGATTTTCACTACTTTTAAAGCTCTGGATGATGTGCTGTGCAGCTGCTGCTGGTTTGAGGTGACAAAAAGAAAGAAGAGGGGAGCAGCTACGGGTCTGAAGGAAAGTCAGATTCAAAAGCCCTTTTCATTCTGCTTGCAAGTCTGTACCTGCCTCTAACAAATGGCTGTGGGTTTCCACCTTTCATATCACAAGGTCAGCAAGCAAATGTTTCATTATGGTATAGCAGTTCCAACACTCTTCTATTGTCATATGCTCTTACAATCAATTTACTTTGAGAATGGGCATGACATAGCTACATAACTTCTTGCTCATCACTCAATATTTCCATCATTTTCTTTACCTTCTGGCAGCGCTTGGGTTTGTTAAGATCTTGGGCTCTCCTTTGCATCTTCCTCAAGGAAGATAAATGCTCACAAAAACACCTGCAGAGGAAAAGACAAGGAATTACACAAAAACACCTGCAAGAGGAAAAGACAAGGAATTATGCCATCCTGCAGAATTTAATGTAACTGAATATGACTTCATGAAGACAAATCTACAAAAGAAAATTGGTCACTTACGCAATTGATGTAGTTACTCTGCTTCTAAGCTCTTATACTGATGTGTGTCTTCTCCTGTTCCTTCATCAGGAATATAATCTTTTCATTATTATATATCCATACAATAACACCTCTGAGGGAGATCTCAGGTTGCTCCGTGGTATTTTACCCTAGACAAGAAACTTTCAAAGCAGTTTTAGTTCCAAATTTTCACTCTTGTGCTTCACCAGTACAGGCAGAAAAATGAATATGCACAGTTCTGATGTACTGTTGACAAAAAATATCCCTTTCAAAAGGTCTTTCATTCAACTTCTGAGTTAAAATTTCTTTACTGCAATGTTTTGTGGAATGTCATGATAAAAATTGCTTGTTATCCATGCAAACTCAGGGGCTCAGTTTCAGGTGGTTGACTGTAGGACTGAGGGCATATTTACAGATGCGTAGAAAACCCATTAACTTCTCGACTGTGTCCTGAGCTTTGATTCTAAAACAGCTACGCATTTGTTTCTCTATTTCTTCCCTTTCAGAATGCCAGTACTGGGGCTCAGACCTGCAACTTCCCAAAATACCTTTTGAAGAAATCATGTACAATGATGAAAGCGCATACAAGTGGCTGCGCACCCTAAAGAAAGTAGGAATCGTGCTACTAACAGGAGCTGCTTCGAGGCAGGGAGAGTTGGTTAAACTTGGCCACAGGATTGGGTTCCTGCGTCTCACTTTTTATGGGTGAGTTGGGTTTTTAATATCCTTGCTTTGCCGCCTATGTAATCACCTCTAACATATTTCACTTCAGTTTGCTGGACCTCCTTTCTGGATTAATTTATTAAAACAAGGGACATTTTTTCTTCTCCGCATGTTAGAAAATGTGGTGTCAATTAGTGTTCTGTGGGACTGGATTGCTTTGCTATCACGGGCAGGGTATGCAAAGAGCGGCAGCTATAACATCAACTGCTGAGAGAAGGAAAAATGCCTGAAAACTGATGAAGTCAAATAAAAGATAACCACAAGGTAGCTGTACTTATCTATACCACGGACAAAATAAAAAAAAACCCTAATCCAGTCCCCTTCTGAGTAGAGGAAGTTAGCTGTACTGAATCTTCTTCTTCGCCTGATTTTGAGTCATGAAAATAGGTACGATTTAGATGATGTTATTGTGTCTCACATCACCAAGAAGATGGGCAGAGTACCTATTTTCCTGCTTTCAGCTGCATCTGCTCCAGGAAGTCACAACCAGTCCCAGTAAGCATTTTTTTTCAGACTGCTTTTTTGCAAAAGTAAGAGCTCAGCCTGCAGGAGTGCAAGCAGGAACTTGTAAATCATCCTTTTGACGGCAAGAGGTGGTGAGCTGAACCTCTACCTCCTCAAGCACCTACTAGGTGAGTAAACAAGTGATGATGGTGGGTCACGTCTTGCTGAGCTGCGTCAGTGACCTCCATCTAGCCAAGTAACGGAGGAATGTTGTTAGCTAACGTATCACCCTGTCCCTCACCCCCAGCTGTTGGTATAACTTTTTACAATGCATATAAAAATACCCTACTACTTGGATGTGTGCTTATTCTTAAAAAAAAGCAATTGACAAAAATAGATAGTAACACTTAAACATAGCGGTGATGTCTTGATGCCTGAATAGCCACCAAAACCAGAACATTCAGAGTTTTCCATCTGAAAAGGTCCCTTCTCCCCCATAGTAGAATAAAAAATTGGCAAGAGTTCTCCTTCGCTTGGATTTACCTCTCGTTCAGACAATAAGCAAACAAACCACGTGGGTAATACCCAGTGTCTCCTCCTTTGTCTAAAAAAATCTGAAATAAATAGAAGCAGGGAGAAAAATCCAGCCTTGGCCAGAAAGACCACATTCCCTCAAGACTACAAATCGGAAGGAAAGATTTTCGGCCCCTTAACACTCCTGCTTGAAGGGACATATGGGCCCGGCTGGAATACGCGGTGCAGGTGAGGTTGGTAAGAGCGGCACTGTGATACCCGGAGAAATACATTAGCTCAGAATGTTAAGGCGGGGGGAGGTGAGCAAAAGGTCCCTTCTTCGAGCTATAATGGCTTTTTTCACATCCTCATTTTGCAAGTTTTGACCGATCATTAGCTATGGAAAAAGATGTCACTGCTGGTGCCAGCTTTTAGATTAGTGAACAATTTCTAAGAGCCAGAGAAATAGCTATTGCGATATACTAGCAACTTCTAGCCGTGCATAAATTACTTCTTACCTAATCGCCATCCTTCATTTTTGTTTCATTTATGTTGAAAGTCAACCTGGTTTTGCAGAATTCTGTCTCGTGCTTCACATCATGAAAGCTGGCTCAAGAAATCTAGAAATTAGCAGAAACTGAAGTGAACTCATAGCATGTAGAACAGCTTGTGAGAATGGCATTTATTTTTTTTTCTATTGTCTTCCAAAAAAAGGGGATGGAGCGAATAGTTGCTTTATAATACCATTAATATTATGAAGCTTTTTTGTCGATTCCAGCAGCCATGACAAATATTTGTAAAGCTTCAAAGGGAGTAATGTATAAAGATACTGGTGTAGTTAAGATAATGCAATTTCATTAAGGTGTGGTTTCCCCATTCTGCTTACTGTGCCAGAAGGAAAAGTGGTTTTCAGAGTTAACTGGGATTCCGTCAGGTTAATCCTACTGAAATAAGTGGGAGCAGAACCCCCCTGCTCAACTTGGAAACCTCATCCCGTGCTACGGAACATCTTCTACTGTTAAAAGCATTCCTAATGTCAAGCACTTGTATGTTTGGCAGTCTACTATGGTCTCAATTTAAAACTTGCATCCTTATGAAAATACTGCTGCTTTCTATTTCTGTTTTGACGTGATCCTAATAACAGGTACAAGGAGATTCTTAGGGGTATCCAACTCTGATCATGTCTGAGGGTGTTTCACAGCTTTCCTCAGCATCTGAAGGATGAAACATTCATTCTGTTTGTATCCAGACAGCTGTGCAAACATTTTGAGTTAGGAAAGAATATAACAAGGCCCAGATAACAACAAAAATAGTTGGTTCTTTGTTAAAGCATACCACTAAATGTAAATATATAATATGTCCAAAATGCCTCAGGACAGCGGGGCGGGGGGGACACGGGACGGGACGGACGGGACGGACACACCAACCCAAAAAACCTAAACAACAACAACAACAGAAAAATACCCACCCCATAGAACCCCTTCAACATATGCTGTGGATTTGTGTTTGGGTTACAACAGAAACAACAGATTCAGACTGCCCCAGGGGAGCCTTGCCAGTTATCAGTTGTGCCATCAGAATGATTTTTTTTCCAATTAAAAAAAGTTATTCTGGCCCCTCACTGACTCTTCCGTAATACAATTATCAACAGTGATGATTATTAAATGTTTCATCTTGTTTAAAGTCAGTTTGAATTAATGTTTACTCTCCTTAAGGACAGTTCCAATAAACGTAATTTGTCAGGATGAGTTCTGAGTCTTTTAGGTATATAAATACATATATATATATTTAAAAGTGTTTTAATACATCCTACAAAGAACTTCCCACCCATTCATGTTCCATACAAGATCAAGGTTGAAATGTGCCCTTGGTCCACACCATTTGAGCAAGTGATGGTTAGAGCTCCTTTCACTGTTTAAATCAGATTTACTATTGGTGTTGATTAAACCTTATTTTTATGTTTTCTTAAGTATTGGAGTTCACAAAAAAGGAACGATAAAAGGCTGTAAGTCTCCTTGCTTTTCCAAAACCTATTTGCTAATTCATGCACTCACTAGGCTGCAGCAAGAGGGTTTCAAATTTTCCAATTGACTACAAATTCTGCATTTAAAAGAAAACACACTGAGTTAGAATATTTAGTGTAGTTGAATTTTGTTTTTTGGTTGTTTTTTTTTCTTTTTTGCTTTTTAGACACAGCTGTAGTATTTGAAAGTCTTGAAGTCTGATTTACATCATCCTAATTGAGCCACCGCAGTTAGACTTACTCTAGGTCATTTGACAGTTGCTAATTATGTTTCTGTGCATGATTAGGTTGATTTTGCAATATTCAATTAAAATCTGATGAGCATAAGGTGAAAGAGAGCCTGACATCCAAAGACCGGGTTCGCAGACTAGTCTGGATGTCAAGTAACAAAACCCAACTCCTCCACAGGGTGAAGTCAATCTGCTCCGTACAGACCAATGTCCGGCTCCGAAAACAGAGTGTCTGTGCTGGTGCTCAGGGACAGGCACGGGTATAAAAGGGGGAGGATGTGTACGATACCACGTGCGTATTGGCAGAGCCAAGACTTCTAGGGGGACAACCAAAACCGTTGAACACACTTTGTTTTTCAGAACATGTTGCCAAGTTGCAAGGAGAGAAAGTAGCTGTACGCGCAAAAGCAGGCTGCCTTTGCTGCTGGGGTCCAGAGCCAGACTCAGTGAGCGGGTTTGGGGCCAGCACGCTATTCCTTGTGTCTCGGCTTTCAGTTCTTCGGTTCAGAGATGGGACACTGTTTAGCTGTGCCTCCAAGCGGCGCTGTAAGGATGCTTTGTTAAGGCTATACAGTAAAGGCGTACCTATTCAAATATAACACTCACGGTTATACACAGGTGAGCTGCCGGAACGGTACGTCCCCGTTGCCCTGCCAAGGAGGTGTCCGAGATGAATACTGCCCGCCATCGAGGAGTTCTGGCACTGGATGAAGTCTATAGGAAGCGTTTTACAAAAGCATCATCTGTTGGCGTGTGTGTGTTACAGACCACTCCATGGTTTGAGACGCTGCTTCGGAGCATTGTCTTCTCAATGCATTGCAAGAAGGAGTAGTTTCATCTTTTCCCTCTGATTAAGAGGAGTTCCTTTAATTGCAAAGACTGTAACTAGAAAGTTGAGTTGCAAAATACTAAACCCGCTCAAAAGAGTTGCTCTCCCTTTTACTGCACTGCTCTCCACCAATTCTCCTTCCTTTCCTCCCTGGGTAGCTGCACACGTGTTGCAGCCTGACATCTTCAGCAATGTTCAGCTGCTCTCTTTGCCATACTGGTGATGTTAATGATTAATGCTTTGAAATTTTTTTTAAATGACTCTTCAGATCATGTTTTTTCCCTAAGAGTCTATTTAAAAAAAAAAAATAAAATAATAGGGACGGAGGAATTCCTCAAATACTGGAAAAATACAAACAGTATCATGCATAATCTTTCTATTGTTAAGTGTAGTCGTTTAAGAAATTATCCATAAAGTATTTTTAAAAAATTAAGTCACAAAACTAGTTTCAAATGCTTTAACACAGATGTGTATGAAGTGGTAACATGCTAAACATAGCAGAAAATAGTTAGAGAACTGTATTCAAACAGCTTAATAACCCAGCGTTTCTTAAATGTGTAATTCATCACGTGAAGTCTTGGAAAAGACTTCAATAGTTTGGCCTTATTTTTGGATATTTGGAGGCCTAAGTGTTTTATAAGGAAAAAACTTCTTATTTTTTTACTATGCATAGCTGGAACCCAGCCCAAAAATATTATGGAGAAGACAACTCCTAATTTAACCCCTTCCCTTTTCAGCTGTAGTCATTGTAGTGCTTGGTCTTGTTGCTTTTACATATTTCTCATGGTAGCAGAAACTCCATTGAGTTTTCAGTCTTAACAAACAGACTTAGAGCAGCATTTTACGGTCTGTCTCTTCACTTCTGAAACAAGTTCATTTCTTACTGGCTTCCAATTCTGATGTGGCTTTTACAACTGTCACAAAATAATAACTTTGGGTAATTCCCTTGCTATTTCACTGGCAGCCAAATACAAGGCCTACCAAATATTATAAACAAAAGGATAAATTTGGAATTGGCAAGCTTGCCAAATAAAACATTACCTCAACAGGGCCATGAATTTTAAACTGAAATGTAACGGCAATGAATATAACCCCGACACTTGGGAAAACAAAAGGCTTTTTTCTTGTCTGGACGTCTCTTTGGTACATGCTGCATAAAACGTCATTCCTGTAAAAAGTGGAAACATTCCCTGTATGTAACAACACCAAGGGGCTCCACACTTTTAAATTAACCTTTTTCTTTATGTCAGGGAGGCACAACTCTATTAACAAGGTCTCCAGTCATACCATGATTCGTTTCTCTGGCTCCTCGTGCCCCAGACCTTGTTTCTCTGCCCCGTTCTGAAGCCTTCTCCAGGGCTTGGAGTGACACAAAGGGACCCCCAGTGCTCCCACTGAAACAGCCAAACCATCCGCACCTCCCAGGGGGCTTCACCTGCAAGAGAAGGGCATGGGCCCCAAATGGCTTATCAACAAGACTTAGATTTCTAATAATGTGCAAGACCAGATGATTCAAGTGTGGCTTTGGTCCCTAGAGCAGTGGTTTTGCAAGGCTGAGGACGTAACAGACGGGCTCATTTTCGGCTCAGGGAGACTGAGCTTATGTTGCCACTTGATGCGAAAAATTGCTACACCTGCCTGGTGCCAAATTTCCTCCTCTGTCAAACAGCCTGAGCAATTGATGTTGAAATCTGACCCTAATTACTAAACCGTAAACCCACCCAACCCGCTTTGCTCTCCCAAAGGGCCACAAGTCCTCTGACATTACCCACATTTTCCTCTGTTACTTCTCGTGCGCTCTCCCCACGGCTGAGTTCATACTCACTTGAGACTTTGACAAAGTAAGGGTGATTTTTTTTCCCGTTCGGCGCTGAGCTCCCTGGTCGCATCACTTTGTCTGTTTAATCATCGCTGACTTCAAGTCGGTAACTTGAGCTTTGACTGAAGCTCCTCACATGGAAGGAAAGCTCCCGGGGACCAGCTCCCCTCGCCAAGCATAACAGCACGGGAGCGCTCATCGCTTATGCAAAACCTTACAATGATTTTAAAAGGTACTACCATTCCAGCAATGGCAGATATCGCATATAAACAAGACAATTAAAATGTGTTAAATTGTTTTAGAACCATTAAGTGACACTGGAGCCTCTTAAAGATAAAGTGAACCTAGCTACCTTCAACACTAACGACAAGGGTGATACAATCTGATGGGTTTTGGCTGTAAAATTGGGAACTACAGAATCACAGAATCACAGAATTGTCAGGGTTGGAAGGGACGTCTGGAGATCATCTAGTCCAACCCCCCCGCCAGAGCAGGGTCACCTACAACAGGTTGCACAGGACGGCGTCCAGGCAGGTTTTGAATGTCTCCAGAGTGGGAGACTCCACCACCTCTCTGGGCAGCCTGTGCCAGTGCTCCACTACCCTCAAGGTAAAGAAGTTCCTCCTCATGTTAAGATGGAACTTCCTATGTTCAAGCTTGTGGCCGTTACCCCTCGTCCTATCACTGGGCACCACTGAAAAAAGACTGCTTCCTTTCCCTGGCATCCTCCCTTTAAGTATTTGTAAGTATTAATAAGATCCCCCCTCAATCTTCTTTTCTCTAGACTAAAGAGACCCAAGTCCCTCAGCCTTTCCTCATATGAGAGATGTTCTAATCCCCTAATCATCTTCGTAGCTCTTTGCTGGACCCTCTC